AAGATAAAATTTGGTGAATAGTGAAACAGTGAAAACCTCAGGGTAGAGGTGTCTACAGAAGGCTTCAGCTGCAGCGGTCATACCTTATTTCTAAAGCTGGCTAGTGGGCATATCCTTATTATATTATTCTCTCTATATTTATGTATTATTGAAATCTTTAACACTTTTATAAAAGAGCAATTGCTCAATACTGAGGGGTGGAGGAAAATCTCCATCTTACTAGTTTGCACTAGCCAGAACTCCCTCAATGTGGCAAAATCGAACAACTCATTGAATCCAGTCATTCATTATGGGACAGGAGCTTACATACTATACATAGGATAATATTCCATGAGTTCGTATTTGCATTGCCCTGCAATGTCTAAATTTTGTGATAATCACGTATTTACTGAAATTTCATGGTATGCAGTCTAAAAATATAGTCAATTTTAGTATTATTCATTATTTTTCAGAACTATGAAAATGTCCTTTGATGTTCATCATTTAAAATAACAAGATAACGGGAAGGGGCGCTTGGGTGCCTCAGCTGGTTTAGCGGCCGACTCTTGATTTCTGCTTAGGTCATGATCTCAGGGTCCTGGGATTGAGCTGCCCCTCAGGCTCCACACTCAGTGGGGAGTCTGCTTAAGGATTCTCTCTCTCCCTCTCCTTCTGCCCCTCCCCCTGCTCACACACGTTCTCTCTCTCTTTCTCAAATAAATAAATAAATAAATAAATCTTTAAAAAAATAACAAGATAATGGGAAAAGGACAGTCTATCCAACAAATGATGATGGGAAACTGGATATCCATATACAAAAGAGTGAAATTGGACCCTTGCTTTACAACATATACAAAAATTAATTCAAAATGGATCAAAAACCTAAACATAGAGCTAAAACTATAAAACTATTAGAGGGACATATAGACATTGGATGTGGCGATGATTTTTTTTTTTTTTAGATATGACACCAAAGCACAGACAACAACAACGTAACAAGTAAATTGAACTTCATTAAAATTAAAAAGTTAAAAAAATAAAATTAAAAAGTTTTGCACATCAAAAGATACTATCAAGAGAATGAAAAGACAACTCACAGAATGGGAGAAAATATTTGCAAAGGGTATATCTGATAACGGATTAATACCCGGAATATGTAAAGAACTCCCACAACTCTACAACAACAACAAATTCAATTAAAAAATGGGCCAAGGACTTGAATAGATATGTCTCTAGAGAAAATATACAAGTGACCAATAAACACAAGAAGTGATGATCAACATCACAAGCCATTAGGGAAAATGTAAATCATTTTGATTTACAACATGAGATACTACTTCACACTCATTAGGGATGGCTACTATACAAAAGGACAAAAGAAACACCCCCCCCCCCCCCGAAAATACCAAGTTTTTGTGAGGCTATGGAGGAATTGGAATCCTTGTGCATTGCTGTTGAAAAACAGTTTGGCAATTCCTTAGAAAGCTAAATATAAGATTACCGCATAATATAGTAATTCCACTTGGAGGTATATGCCAAAAGAATTGAAAGCAGAGACTCAAACAGATACTTGTATACCAATGTTCATGGCAGCATTTTTCAAAATAGCTGAAAGATGGAAACAACTCAAATGCTCATCAACTGATTAATAGATAAACAAATGTGGTATATTCATACAATGGAGTATTATTCAGCCTTAAAAACACATTCTGATACGTGCTACAACATGGGTTTGCTTGGCATTGGATCCCTCACGATATTTGGTTATAAGAATTTGAGCACAGAATCCTTGTGACAAGCAAGGAGGATCAAACGGAAGTGGACAGTACAGAGTCTGTGCAAACAGGCCAATGCCTAACTTTGTTTTGGTTCATTGTTTATGTTTATCTTTCTCTGTGTATTTGCATTTGGTTCAGTGAGACTGTCTTAGAGTAGAAGAGTCAGATCCTCACATCCTCTTTAGTGAGGTGGACCTTAGAGAGTGAGAAACTGCAGAGGTAGAAATAAAAACATAAAATAATATCTGGAGGTTTTGCTGAGGAATAAGGGGATTGGACTGATTTCTTCTGGAGTCCCTCCTGGCTGAGAGTGTTTCCAGCTTCTGCTAAGCACCACCAGCAAAAAAGGAGCAGAAAAGTACTTGGTCTGCATTCCCACAGGCCAGGTTAGGGAGATGGAGCATGTGCAAAGCCTAGGGCTGAGCATAGGGGCCCTGAGGGCTGAGTTGGCAAAGCTAGACAGAGCAAAAGAATTTTCTTTTTGAAGTGGCCCTCATCACACTTCAGGCTGTGCACAGGGTACTGAAGGGCTAAAATATGGAAGAAAACTTTGGGTAGAACCTGGGAGCTAAATTTTACTGTTTTGTCTGCTAGGATTAAAATGATTTTTTTTCAGGGTGCCTGGGTGGCTTAGTTGGTTAAGCCTTTGACTCTTGGTTTTGGCTTAGGTCGTGATTTCATGGAGCCCCAAGTCAGGCTCCACACTCAGTGAGACTCTTTCCCTCTTTCTTTTCCTCTGCCCCTCTCCCCACTCGTTCAGGGGGTGCTTTCTCTCTCGCTCAAATAAATTTTTAAAAAATGATATTTTTTCCAAGATTTTTTATTTTTATTTTTATTATTTATCTTTTAAAAGATTTTTATTTATTTATTTGACAGAGAGAGAGAGCACAAGCAGGGGGAGCGGCAGGCAGAGAGAGAGGGAGAAGCAGGCTCATAGGAGTGAGCAGGGAGCCTGAGGGGAGGCAGGGCTCGAGCCCAGGACCCTGAGATTAGGACCTGAGTGGAAGGCAGACGCTTAACCTACCGAGCCACCCAGGCGCCCCTCCAAGATTTTTCAAAAATAATTATTTATATTATCAAGGCCATACAGTCCTCATTATAATAAAGGTGAAAAATACAGAAAAGTAGGAGGAAAACAAAAAATTCATTTAGTTCTACCACATAGAGACAACCAGTACTAGTATTTTGCATATTTTGTTCTATTTTGTTCTGTTTCCCATGCGTATCGATCCATTTCATTAATTGTGATCATAGTTTATGTTAAATGTTGTATCCTACTTTCAATTAATATTAGAGCATGAGCATTTTCCTGTCATAAGCTATGTGTAAATGTCAGCTTCATTAGCTATATAATATTCCATTTTATGACTACACTATAATTTACTTAACCACTGAATCATGAGGTTTTTTGGTTAGTATTTTATTATTCTAACTAATACTAGGATTAACATAGTTGTACAAAAAGTTTGTGTACATCTGTTTTCCTGAGGACACATTCATTCACGCATTATATAAATACTAATGAGGGCCTACTATGTGCCAGGTACTATGTTAGGTGTCAGGTTTCTGTCTTGGGTGGCATGCTATCATTTACTGAGATAGGAAACACTGGAGGAGGAGCAAATTTAAGAGAAAATATGGTGTGTTCAGCTTTGGATGTGTTGAATTTGAGGTTTCCGCAAGACATCCAAATGGAGATGTCAAGAACACAGAGCTCCGTGAAGAGGTCTGGATAGAGCTATAAAATTACAGTTGTGGCCATATACATGGTAATTAAAGCCAAGTGAGTGAAAGAGATCATTTAGGGAGAGAATATATGCAGCCTAGCTCTGAAACTGTCTGACATTCAGAGGTTAGATAGCAGAAATGGAGTCTACAAAGCGATTCTGAGGAGAGGGCAAAAGGGTAGGAGGAAAGGCAAGAGTATGGCATTATAAATGCCACAGGAAGACTTTCAAGTAGGAGGAAATAGTTAACAGCATTAAATGTCGGGATGATGTCAAGCAAGATAATGATTAAAAATGTCTCCTTTATTTTATTTACTTACATAGATTTATTGACATGGGGGTCATTCATTGGTTGGGTGTTTTGTTGAGCACAGTTTCAGTGGAGTGTTGGGGAAGGATGCCAAACTGGTAAGTGAGAAGAAGAGAACAGAGATTGCAAATGTACCTGCAAAGTACATTTTCAATAGATTTGCCCATAAAGAGGAGCTAGAGAAGTACCTAGTTTGTAGAGAGGATTTTTTTTTTTTTTAAGATGGCAGACTTGGGCATGTTTACTTGAGCATGGTTAATGGCTGATGAGAAGAAGGGAAGGAGAGGGAGGGAGGGAAAGAGGGGGACAGGAATCTACAATTACTGGGTAGATATAAACATTTTAAAGCCTAATGATATATATTGCTCACATGCCTTCTAAAAGGGTTTTTAAGCAGCATGCACTCCTATGAGCAATTATGAAAGCGCTTTGTTTTTGTCATCAAATGTGAATAAAACAAACAAAAACTTTGCCAAAGAATCTCATTATTGTTCTAATTTGCTCTTACTTGATTACTAGTGAGTTGAATGTTTTAAACATTTGTGTCTGTGTGTGAATTTAGTCTATGTCCTTTGCCCCAAACATTTCTATTTTAGACACACTTTTTTTTTAGATTTTATTTATTTATTTGACAGAGAGAGACACAGCGAGAGAGGGAACACAAGCAGGGGGAGTGGGAGAGGGAGAAGTAGGCTTCCCACTGAGCAGGGATCCCGATGTGGGGCTCAATTCCAGGACCCCGGGATCAGGACCTGAGCCGAAGGCAGATGCTTAACGACTGAGCCACCCAGGCGCCCCTAGACAGACACTTTTTATTTGCCACTTTTATTTGCCTGAAAGTTAAAGGATCAGAATGGTATCATATTTTATCTTCCCAAATCATATGGTCTAGAGTCTTCATCTTATAAGTACACGACAGTTTGACAACTTTTGGCTCAGCTAAGAGGAAGACGCAGGAGATTTATCATCTGAGTGACCAGAGATGGAAGTGAAAAGGGGGCCACGTCCAGTCTTAGACCCCTATCCTCAGCCCTTAAGCTCCCTTTCCTAGCCTGGGGAGGCATCCCTCCAGGGACTTAAGTCTTTGGCTCTCAGAGCACCCATTCGGGTGGCGCGGTTCCCTACTAAGGGGCCCGGAGAGCTGTGCGGCCCCTTTAAGAGTCCAGCTCCTCCCCGCTTCAGGGAAAGTTGCAGCTTTTTCCGCCTCCCGGGAGGGTGAGTAGGGCCGGCTGCCTGAGCAGGATTGCCGCCTTCTCGGAGCCGGAGACCCTCCCTTGAATCCCGCACTGGGACGCCTCACCCTCTCGCGGCACCTGTTGCAGGTGACAGGTATGTCCGCGGCCAGCGGCCGCCCCTTCGCCCTCGGTCCCGGGCTCCCCCCTGGGCCCCTAAGTGCCCCCCACCCCTATCTCAGGGACCCGCGTTCTTCTCTACCCGCCTATCCGCTCTCCTAGTCTTTCCTTCTCCCTAGCTGGCCGCCTGTCCCCTCTCCCTCGTCGGCCTCCCTGGACCGCACCCCCCACGCTTTGACTCCTGTCTGCTTGGGGCGGTCCCTCCCCGCCAGTTTGCGTGCCCTCGGGCCTCTTCTGGCCCCTTCCCTGGCCCACTGGTCGCTAACGGGGGCTCTACCCCTCTGGGCTCTGCCTCCTCGGGGTCTCGCCTCAACGCAGAGTGGCTCGGCTTTTCCCGCCAGCCCCAGCTGGAGCCCCTCCCGAGCTGGCCCTGGGGGCGGGTGGGGCCGAGCTCCGAGCGGGAACTGCACTCTCAGAGACGTCGAGTCACCTTTTCGGTGGCTCCTCTCTCTGCGCTTGGCCGTCGCGCCGGGTCTCAGTCTCGCACTGCTTCCGGACCTCGGACCTCGCGGCGTCAGCTTCTCTGGCCTCCGTAGGTCCGCCAAAGGTAAAGGCTGGAGGCCGGCTGGCTGCGAGTCCTGCCTCAGTGGGCTTCCCCTGCTCTTGGGGCTGGGGACCCAGCTGTGTGCTCTCGTGTTGAACTGCTTTATCTTGCCACCCTTCAAGCAGGCGTCGGCGGTTTGCTCCTGGAAAAGGGTCCCCAGAGCCCTCAGAAGGGGCACAGAATGCTCTTATCCCCAGTGATGGTTTGTAAAGGGCCAGAAAACATGTTCCTCCAGCGCCCCAAAGTTGAATGAGATGGTTGGGTGTTTTTTTGTTTTGTTTTGTTTTGTTTTGTTTTTGTGGCGGTGAAAACGTTTGGTTATAATTCTGGTGAACGAATACCCTGCTTCTTCAGGACCAGAGGATCTAGCATTCCGGAATATTGCTTTTGGCAGGGTTAACCCTAGACCTTGTGCGTTTGTGACAGAAATTAATCTTCACTGCATCCTGGACCTTCTATTTTTAGCTGGCTTCTTTTCTGTTCTTTCAGCTCCCCACCCCCACTCCTCATAAACCCATTGATATTAAGGTGTTAATAACCTCATGTGTTTACTCCACTGGGCTGTGGAGAGGACGATGTTTAATGAACAAAGTTGAGGCCCCCGGATGAAGTTTTTTGTTGTAGTTTTTTTTTTTTTTTTAACACCTGCTGGAAATCCAAGTAGAAAAAGACCACCAGCTTGGCTTGTGAGACTTCTGGCAGGGGATAACATTTCTGGTAACACAATTTTAGGTGCCTCACTTTAGGTTAGAGCAGTGAAATGGAGCTTGGAGGCCTATCCTGGGATAATTGGTCAGTGCGTGTATGTGGCATTCTGGTTGATGCTCTCTGAGCTCTCCCCGTTAATGCTACTAATAATGGTTGTTAAGATCTATTGAGCCATGTACTATGATAAGTTCTTTACATAGTTATCTCATATAACCCTCATGATAACTCTTCGTGGTAGGCACTATAGTTATAACCATATTTTGATAGAAAGGACACTCAGAGCTTAAGCGCCTTGCCCCAAATCACCCAACTGATGAGCGGCTGAACTGGGCAGAGCTTGTGTTCCTATCCCCTGTCCCATCACTTCTGCTGTCTTAGATTTTAGGAACACTAAATAAATAGCTCACAGGGGAGGACTAAGTGATTAAAATTTTCCCTTCCAAGCTGAAACATGAGTTTTGGTCCTTGACTCCATTTCAGATGTGCTGCAGAGACTTGGGACCCCTTACCTCACTGATAGCTTACCCTCTTCAACACATCACAGGGGGCCAATTGCCACATTATTACGATAAGCACACCGCCCTGAGTGTACCCGGCTGAATGAAGCCTCTGGGGCTCTCAGCTCGGTAGTAATTGTCCCAAAGTTAAGAGAGGGTAACCCTGGCTTCTAGGGATGTGCGTCTGACTCAACTTCTTCCTTCCCTGCTGGCTAGGGAAGAGATGAGGGTGTGGTAAGTGATAAGGATTTCCCAACAGCCAGTCCAGAGAGCCTGAGGGTGAGTGTGTGCTTGTTTTATCGTGGGGTGGATGGAGTACCTTTGGCAGCGACAGTGCGGAATAGAAAATATCCTCACCGATCCCATCTCTGGTCCTTTGCTACAGCTGTTTATTTTTCCTGAAAAGCGAACTGGACTCCCAAACCCACTCTCCTGCCATTGACTCCTATTCACCTCTCAAGATTGAGCTTTCAGGGCCTCTTTTTTGGGACAACCTTAGTGAACACACAATTCCTTACCCCAAGCCACATTTACCAGTTATCCTGTCCTAAAGCACTTTGTTTACACCCCAGGAAAGCCCTTAACATCTCTTAATTGTTTTTCCGCCTGGAAGGCTGTAACCTCTTTTAAGGGCAAGGTCTGGATCTTGGAGCTCCCTTTCTCTTAGGTATGAGCAAGATTAACAAATATTTGTGCTAGGCTGGAGATACCAGGCCTTTAAGGGCCTGAGGGCTGGCGGTAGTAGAAATGAAGGCCACAAAACGGCTTCCTGAGGCCCTTGAAATCCGAAGGCTAGGAGTTAGTACTTAAATGTCACTTCAGCGAGGCCCTCCCTAACCATACTATTTATTTATTATTTATTTTATTTTATTATTTTTTAACCACACTATTTAAACTTGCAACCCCATCCCTGAACATTCTATATGCCCCTTCCCTACCTTATTACTCTAATGTAACATATTGTGTATTTTTTTTTCATTTTTCTTTCTTATTGTCTGTCCCTCTTCCGCCCCTCCGTAATGTAAGTTACATGTGGGCAGGGATTTCTGTTTTATTTACCAGTAGTAGACCCCAGCACCCATAACAGAGCCTGGCACATCATAGGTGGCTATTTTGTGAAATGAATCAATGAATGACATCACCGCTCTAGGAACTGGCACTCTTTTGTGTTCTCCTGGACCTGAAAGGAAGTATCCCTAGTCTGTCACCCTACCCCAGGCTCAATTCCCACACAGCTTTCCTTCTGCTGAGTTTTGCTTTGAGACTGCATTGCATTTCTGATGCCAGCTTTGACCTAGTTGGAAGTACTTCCTCTCTCTCTCTCTCTCTTTTTTTTTAAGGCTTGGGTCTCTGAATGGAAACTTCTAAAGTGAAAACGGAAAGAGGCCGTGCTTCTTGTTGGTAGGAAGGGGGATTTGCCCTAAGAGGAGAGGATGTGGATTGTCAGGCTCTTCAGGCCTGTCAGGCATTTGGCAGGCTCAGTAAGAAGCTGGAGAAAGTTGCTGTGTAACAGGGAAATGAATAGCCCAAAAGAATCTAAGGTGGCACAAATTTGGCTTCTGGCCTCACATTTTCCTTAGCTTTTTGGGCAGGAGGTTATTGGATTATAAGCTTTATGGAAGAGCCACTGTTGAGTGCTATTGTATGTAGTACTTGACTGGTTTAGTTTTATACTAGGAGGAGAGTTATGTGGTGTGAGGAAAACACTATGGAATAAAAAAGAAAAAAAATATGATTGTGTTTAAATGTGGTTTGAAATATTCAGAAAGAAAAAAAGGGGGGGTGCCTGGGTGGCTCAGTTGGTTACGTGTCTGCCTTCTGCGCAGGTCATGATCCCGGAGTCCCAGGATCAAGCTGTATGGGGCTCCCTGCTCAGCAGGGAGTCTGCTTCTCCCTCTGCCCCTCGCCCCACTCGTGCTCTCTCTCGCTCTCTCCTTCTCAAATAAATAAATAGAATCTTAAAAAGAAAGGGAAAAAAACCCTAGAATTCCTTAAAAGACAAACTTGGAAGGAGTTGGGCCCTTAATATGGTGGTAAGTATGGAATTTCCTGCCATTTGATGTATGTTAACTTCTTTAAAACTCAAGTTTGTATTGAAAAACTTCTGCTCAGCCTCTTCTTCTACTAAATTTATCTCCTCAACCTCTGAACATTGGAGTGACCTAGGGCTCAGTCCATGCACTTTTTTCCATCCCAAATCTTCCTAGAAGCACTCTTCCAGCCCCATGGCTTTAAATACCGTCTATCTATACACTCACCACTCCCACATTTATGTGTCTGACCCAAGCCTTTCTTCTAAGCTGTAGCCTCATATATCCAATGGCCTATTTGACAGCTCTACTTGGATGTATGTCCAATAGATATCGAATGTGACATGGCCAAAACAGGGCTCCTGATTCTTCTCAGGTCTCTGGCCCTTTCCCTCAGCCTTCCCTATCTCAGTAAAATGGCACCATCATCCATTTAGTTGCTCAAGCCGAGAACTTGGGGTCTCCCTTGATTCCTCCCCTTCTCTCACCTCTCCACATTCAATTCATCAGCAAGTCTTATTGACCTGATCTCCAACTCTGTCATATATTCTGCCACATATCTCCATCTCCTCTGCCTGTTACCCTAGTCCAAGCAACACAAGGCTGCAATGAACATCTTTACAGAGTGCCCACAATGGATGTAGATATGGATATACCCACACAAATATTTCTGTAGGATAGCTTTCTAGTAGAATCGTTGGGTCAGAGGATACTTACATTAAAAAATGTGATCAGGCTTTGTCAGAGTGACATCCAGGAAGGTTTACGCTCTCACCACAGAGAGTGCGTTTCTGCATGCCCTTGCTGAGGGTGGACAGTCTTTCTAATTTTTGCCAGTCTGATAGGTGAAAAATAGTATCTAACTGATTTAACTGGCATTTCTCTTATTACTAGTACGGCTGAGTAATTTTTCATGTGTGTTAGCTATTTGCATTTTTCCTGAGACTTGCTCTTTAAGATCCTTTGCACATTTTTCTTTTGGGTTATATATTTAATTTGTTTGTAAGAACACTGTGTTTATAAGGGATATTTATTCATTGCCTGTTACACAGTGCAAGTTTTTTTGTTCTTGTCATATGTCATAACTTTGTTCATGCTCTGTACCCCTCTTATAATCAGAGAAAACACGCTATAAAACATTTTGAAAAACATGTTCATTAGATTTGGCAATTAGGAGGTCAATGACAGCATCAGTGCA